ATAATATATATAATTATATATATTATATATGTAATATATATTTCTATTTATATACATTTCTATTTCTATATATATACTCAGAGCTTATCCTGACAAAGTGTATATATTATTTATATATATTTATTTATATTATTGTATTTGTATGTATATAATATATATAAATAAATACAATAATATAAATATATATATATAAAAAAAATATACAAAATGTCACAAGAAAAGCTCAGACCCCGCGAGAAAAATATGTATATATATATATATATATATATATATATATATGTATATATATATATGTATATATATATATATATATATATATATATGTATATATATATACATATTTATCTCAAGGACTCAGAGCTTATCCTGACAAATTGCTTCAATTGAAACTCTCTTTGAAGGGAGTGAACACGAATTCAGGCTGACTCAAACAAGATGAAACATTTAATAATCACTAATTACTGTTTATGATTGTATCAGGGAAGAGTCAGTGAAGGGCAGGACTTTTTTGCCATTGCAAAAACCCATTTTGACTAACTGTTAACCTGGCAGGTGGAATCTGCTGTTAGCTGGGCTTAGACAAGGGAAGTATATCCCAAGAGTTAATGCATATTTATGCAGACTGACTTTTCACTCTTGCTTCAAAAAAAGCAGAGTTCTCAGGAGCTGGCTGTTCCAGACAGACACTTGGCAGTGGTTTTGAGGAGCAAGGATGATGGAGAGCTGGATCAGAATGTGCACAGAATAAAGAGCTGCGGAAAAATACACGTAGAAAATACACAGAATAAGAGGGAGACAGTTGCTCCTGGGAACAGAGGAAACAATTAGAAGTAAATGCTTGCCACCTGTAAGTAGGTGGAGAAGACACTTGGTGAGGCCAAAGGAACAACAGGAACATCCTGGGAGGAAAAAAAACCACGAGGCAAGTCCTGGTTGCAAAAATGAACTCAGTGAAGAGGAGAGGAGCTGTGACCTCTCCTTTCTAAGGAAGAAGAAGAAGAAAACACCATTAAATACTGAGAAAAAAAAAACCATGGAAGATATCCTACTTCACCCCTGCTTCCCTCACCAAGATATTCTCCCCCCTCTTTTCCAAACCACACAACCACTGCCCCCCATGTACCAGCACTCCCTGTTTGACCCTCGTGGCTAATCCAGGCCAAGTTTATTAAAGACTAATTATTTGCCTGGGTGATGGTGATGAATAAAGCCTAAGCCTGGCTGATAATGTGTGCTGGTAGTGATTGTCAGTCTAATAAAGGCAGGTTTAAACTTTGAAACTGTGTCGGTGTGTTTGTTTTAAATACAGCCCCAAAATGTGCAGCTGCTGTGGGGGAAGGTCTGGAGGGACAGGGGGACATAGAGGTTCAGCTGGACAGGCCAGAGGAGATAGAGCAGCAGAGATTTGATTGTTCTGCCCCAAATAAACAGCAATTTTACCATCTCCAAATAAAACTGAAACACGGGGAGCGCCTCTAACCCCAAAATACTAATTAGTTGACCTCAAGTAACACAAATAATAATCCTAAAGTGCTCTGCAGAGAGTTTGACCTGCAGTAACCCAAAAATGACCTAAAGTAACCCCAATGACCCAGAGTAACCCCAGAATGACCTATAGTAACCCCAAAATGACCTCGAGTAACCCCAAAAGGCCAGATTTTTGACCTAAAGTAACCCCACAATTCTCTGCTGAGAGTAAGTTTGACCTTTAGTAACCCCAATGACCTAAAGTAACCCCAATGACCCAGAGTAACCCCGGAATGACCTGTAATAACCCCTAAATGACCTCGAGTAACCCCAAAAGGCCAGATTTTTGACCTAAAGTAACCCCAAAATTTTCTGTCGAGTGTAAGTTTGCCCTTTAGTAACCCCAATGACCTAAAGTAACCCTAATGACCCAGAGTAACCCCAAAATGACCCAGAGTAACCCCAAAATGACCTCGAGTAACCCCAAAAGGCTAATTGGTAGACCTGAAGTGACTCCAAAGGCCTTTTTTAAAATGCCTTTGCCCACAATTAAACCTCCCACCTATTGAACATTTTGGGGTTTCTGACGTCTTTGGGGTTACTCTAGGTCATTTTGGGGTTACTCCAGGTCATTTGGGGGTTACTCTGGGTCATTGGGGTTACTTTAGGTCATTGGGGTTACTAAAGGTCAAACTTACTCTCTGCTGAAAATTTTGGGGTTACTTTAGGTCAAAAATCTGGCCTTTTGGGGTTACTTGAGGTCATTTTGGGGTTTCTCTAGGTCATTCTGGGGTTACTCTGGGTCGTTGGGGTTACTTTAGGTCATTGGGGTTACTAAAGGTCAAACTTACTCTTTGCAGAAAATTTTGGGGTTACTTT